AAGCCGTAATTGCAACTTTCAAATTCCTAAACATGAACTTCCCAGCAGGACCTGAGCATACCATAATTTGTTGGCTGGTCTATTAGAAACAGCAACTGTGAAGAGAAAAGCTTTTTAAAGTGCCGTTTGATACCATCAGATTATTCCTCTGCTTATTTGATTTTCCTGAAAATGCTGACCTTCATAGGAAGGAAAAATTATTAGAAAAATAAGAGATTTATTTTCTAGCTTTAAGCTAATGAATAGTAAATGGGTTTGTGCTTGATTGTCCTTGATACCCTACACCAGGGTAATACTAATATTTCTCCATTTAGTAAAATGCCATATTCCTAGAGTGAATTGTTTTAAAACAGAATGTGCTGTGGATCATATTTCAAAGCTAAACCAGGCATAATGGCTATTCGTTATGTTTTTTAAAAGCAGTATTTTTAAAGCATCATACAGTATGTGATGTTAGAGTGAGATCTCAGACGTCATCTGACATGGTAACGAATTGAATCCAACCTGAAAGAAAAGCACAGCACAATGAGCCGATGTCATAGGTGTAACCATGGCTACCACACTTCCAGACTCCTTAAGATTCACTTTGGTTTTAATCAAACGTTCATTATGAGAGCATTCACTATTCAGTCTTTATGAGACATGTACAGCTCAGGTGTCATGTTGAGAGTTCAATTGTAATAAATGTTGACAAATTAGATCAGACTCCAGCAGGACTGAATGACAGTCGCGGCACTTTCATGGTGTAATCAGTTCATGGAGTAACCTGATTGTGGACCTTAGAGGAGTTTGTTGGCCTAAATGTAGCAGCACTATTAGACTGGCCTCCCTCCAGCTCAACAAAAGATGACAACCAGAACACTCATCTTGGTAATCTTTCTACCTGTCCTCAGCCACTTTATCTTTATGCTTTGACAGGAGGTCAGCTAATAACCTCTCAATATGAAGTGCCATATCTGAGAGAACAAGCAGTCATTTTCTCCCCCATTTCCCACTTGTCTCTTTTTCGGGAAGTTTGAGACAGCTGCAGTACTTCCTTTGCTTATTTCTCTCTTTCTCTTTTTGTCTCCCAGAAGGGGGGCTCTGTGCATATCTCGGGACAGTTACGGGTGGGTCAGGTGATTCTGGAGGTGAACGGCGTGTCACTTAAAGGCATGGAGCACCGGGACGCGACTCGGGTCATTGCGGAGGCCTTTAAGACCAAAGACAAAGACTATGTTGACTTTTTGATCGCTGAGTTCAACTCTGCTCTGTAGAAGTCGTCCCTCGAGCGTTTCACTAGACGCCACTGCAAAGACCTTGCACTTAATGTCAAGTCCGCATGAGGGGCTGAATGAGTCATGCTTGTCATATCCGAGTCACAGTTAGGTTAGAGAGTTCAAAAGCTGCAATACACCCACCTTACGTCTGTGTTCTCGCTATAACAACGAGCAGTTGCCACACACGTTCACTGAACACATTCCCGGTATGTTCTAGAGGATGATCTGCAGAGCCAAGACTGTTGGTAATGTTTGATAGGACGAGGTCAGGGTTATAACAAGTCTGTCAATTCTGTGCCATATACACACGCGCACACACACACACACACACACACACACACACACACACACACAAAAACTTCATTTCAGCTAAAACATCTTTTACATTTAGTTTAACTTACTAAAATAACAAAAACTGAAATAAAAAAAAAATGAATAAACTATACGAACGCATTAAAAAACCCAATAAAAACTACACAAAATTACTAAAACTTAAAAATAAAATCTAATTCAAACTATAACAGCATCTCAAATCTAAAATAACACAACCTTTAGTATCTGAGAAGAACAAAATCTGAACTATCTCTCTCTCTCTCTCTCTAACTAACTACCATTAAAGTTTGGGGTCTGTATGTTTATTTACTCTATACAGCCATTACTCTAGTCTTTATTCTCAAATGATTTTTTTAGAAATCATTCTAATATGCTGATTTGGTCCTCAAGAAAACATTTCTTATTATTTCTTATTATTATCGATGTTGAAAACAGTTGTGCTGCTAAATATTTTCTTTGATGAATGAAAAGTTCAAAAGAACAATTTATTTGAATTTTTTTTTTTAATATGACAATATACAAGTCTTTATTGTCACTTTTAATCAATTTTAATGCATCTTTGCTGAATAAAAGTATTAATTAAAAAAACTTACTGACCTCAAACTTTTGAATGGTAGTGTTGTGTATATATCATCAAATCATTCATTCATTTCAATTCATATTTATTATAGCTAATACACAATATATACAGATTTGCTACAACAATTCTTAACAGAAAATCACATATCATTTGAATGAAATTATCAAATGGCATAGTCTTTGTTTTGAAGGTGTTTTGTTACTCTTCCTTGATTCCGAAGGTGCTTAACATATTTTATGATGAGAGGAACTGAATTTAGTGGAAGTAGTAAAGCGAAGTGATATTAGTACACTATTATTGTAATATGTGAATGGAGATCTGAGTTATTTCTGGACAGATGGAGAGAGGAGGAGGATTCTAGAGTATCTCAATGTTTTCTCATTCTGTTTTTTTCCCCCCTTTTTTCTTCTCTCTCCCTCCCTCTCTCTCTCACACACACACACACACACACACACACACAAATCAGCCTGTTTTTTTAAAGATCTTATATCTGTGCATACTTCAAAGACAGAGAGGTATAATGAAGAAGTGTATAGCAGTATTTTTTGAAGAGATCAGATGTGCAGTTTTTCAGTTATATGTAAATGCATGGCTCCTGATTATGCAACATACAGAGAGAGCTATTGTACATAGGTAAAATAATGTAAAGCTGTATATATTTTATGTAATATATATTTTTTGCACATACTGTTGATATAATGTTTTCAATGACTACATCAAAAACATCAAAACCTTTAAATATGAAACCAAACATCACCACTTAGAATAATAACATATATATGCATATTAGTTTTTCAACCCCAAAGGATGTTCTGTGCAGATTATGCAGATAGTCTGTCTTTAAGTTTATAAATAATTTTTGTTTATTTGTTGCTTGTCATTTGTTGTACGTTGCAATGTGAAACACACATAATATAGTAACTTTACAGGAACTAAATTATCATATAGGCTGATTGCAAAGCAACACTGTATAAAGACAGCGCACAATCCGAGGGTATCAATATAATGCCTGAAAGATGTATGATTTATCCCAAACTGGAAAAGAGACTTAAATAAATATTTAAAGACTGAATTAAATGCCTGTAATTGATTGATATTTTTATTTCTTGGTTAAATCATACCGTTGTCAGCCAGAAATATGTTCATCTGGCTCTGTTCTCTGATGAAGTAGTGTTTTGGCTCCCTCATGTGTTCAAATGAAGAACATGGTTTTAATTTCAAAGGTTTGCGGTGCTATATTTAAATGTATTATATTGTACCTATTAAATATATTATATCTCCACCTATTATGCCATATATTTTTGTTCAACTTTTTGCAATTAATTTAGCTCTTTTTGCAATAATGTGAAACCATTCAAAGTCTTATTTTGAACTCTATTATTTTTGAACAGTTTGTAAATGTCTTTAATAGTAAAATGATGATGAGACTGAGTTAAGGTAGAGTTGATTTTTTTTCTTCCGATTTGTGTTTTTTTTTTTTTCTTATATCAACATATTCACCTGTTATATATGTTTATAAACATTCAAATGCATCTGCCTCAAAACCAAATGAATAATATTATAACTGAACTATAACTGATCTATGTATTTTCTATCATGTTATGAGAAATAGCCTAATGTGTGATGTGCATGGCATGCAAACTCTCAAATGTCGTAATCACGAGATGTTTAACAGAAGCCAGTTTATTTTACTATATGCACAAGACAATAGTTTGCACGTCATAACCTCTGATGTGATAACATGTTACATATATTTAAATATGGCATATAGATTGTATATTTACACTGCATGAATTTGTGTTCTTAGTGTAAATAAATAACAGATTACAACATAAGAAGCAATCATGCTACATTACTACATTACTACACATGGAACAGTTATTCAGTGCTGAAGATGTAAAACAAAAATAGAAAGTCAACAAAGGAGGCTTTACTATATTAAAGGCACAATATGTAAGATTTTTTTATTAAAATATCCAAAAACCACTAGAACAATGTTATATATTTTGCTGACTTGTGTACTTACATTATCCCAAATGTTTCGAAGAATGTTTCAATCCAGAGAAATAAGCTATTTTAACTAGTGACACGGAGCGTGTCCATAGTGTCATTGTGTCGCCTGCCAATGACGTCATAACCCCTCGATTTCCTGTTTTGTAGAAAAAATGGAAACACCAAAGACATTATAATATATTGTGCGTTTTAATAGACCGGTGACGACTGCACAGAGTAGCATTATAACAGAACTTTCAAATGTATCTAGTATGATAAAACAGTGCTGCTTTTTTCCCCCACATACGCACGACCGGAAGGAGCGGAAGCGGTCGACTGTGGCATAATAAAAGCTCCGCTGTTTTCGAGCTTTCAGCCTCACCCTGCTTCATTCTACTACGTTAATAAATCATTAGCTCATCCATGAACATGATTTCTGCCCGAGTCCCGTCGGATTGCATCGGCTGTGGGGATGAAGACCACAACTCCCATGATTCCACACTCAGTCACAGCGTCATCAAACTACGCCTTTGTCTCTTTGTTTATTTGGAATACGCGCCCTCTAGCGTCGAAAATTACATATTGTGCCTTTAACAAAGTCTATATAAAAGACTAGTAACTATTATTTCCAAACCACAGGATTAAAACAACATGAAGCAGTTGATATTCACAAAGGGATGTACAGTATTGCCATGACCACACAACAGACACAATCATGTTATTTAAACTACTGATTTAATTCAAAATAACTTTACAGATGAGGTAACTGGAATTTCTCTTGTTCTGCTATGCTGGACATTGAGAGTATTCAAATCATCTGCTGTTGTTGTTTTTTTATCTACAGTTTGAGTTACACTCAAGTCAATTGGTCCCATATTACCAACAATGCTGGATGACACTGACAACTAAATAATACCTTTTTTTTTTTTGTTAATGATCTTTTATGTAATCTGAGACTAATATTTAGGTGATACTGAATGTAGTAGTAATAATACACTTCACTATAGCCTATTGCTGAGAAGGGAAGTGCTGAAGGGAGACAGACTACCTAAAATTAGCTGAAGAAACATTGTATGGGTGTGTGATTTAAGAAAGATTCTGTCTTAACACTCGTCTTGGATCATGTCATTGATGACATCAGAATAGTGAAGCAGGGCAATGATGTCACCACATTCTAAAAGAGAAAGTGAGACAAATTTGATTAATGTTACAGTGAATGAAAATATCTACATAATGTCTCTTTATTAAATGCGTTAAATATGATGATAAAAAATGTCAGCAGATTTTTTATATTAAAGCATTAAAATGCCTTTAAAATAAATTCAAATTTGCAATTAAAAAAGTCTGACCTTCTTCATGTCTTTTTTCATCACTCATCTTCTGCAGGAAGCTGGTCCTCAGGGGCTGCGTTGGGGTCCAGGAAGTCTTGGTGCTGCAGATGCTTTAGGTGTTTAATGGGAGTGATGGTGTGGGTGGAGCCTGTGAGGGAGGTCAGAAACATGATCAGGGCTTTTACTGTGACAAAAAACACTCATTAAAACCACATTGCAGGGGTCTGTTACTAATGACAGTTATACAATGATCAGTAAACATTTATCTTTTCTGTCACTTACTGCAGTGTATATTCAACGGCAAGGCAAATGACATCATTTACAACCATAACCCATGTATCCCACAGCAGAATGCTTTTGATGCTCAATAATTCATATTTTAGGTCAGCAAAAAATATACACTACTGTTCAAATGTTTGGGCTTGGTAAGATTTTGAATGTTTTTGAAAGAAGACTCTTATGCTCACCAAGGCTGCATTTATTTGATAAAGAATACAATAAAAACAGTAATATTGTGAATTATTATTACAATGTAAAATAATTGTTTGGCATTTTAATATATTTTAAAACGTAATATATTCCTGTTATGTCCAAGCTGAATTTTCAGCAGCCATTACTCCAGTCTTCAGTGTCACATGATCCTTCAGAAATCTTTCTAATATGCTGATTTGGTGCTCAAGAAACATTATTATAATCAATGTTGAAAACGGGTGTGCTACTTAATATTTTTGTGAAAACAATTGACAAAATATTATTTTTTTAATAACTAATAATAATTGAATATTTAATGTTACTTTTAATTAAATACTCCCTTGCTGAATAAAAGTACTAATTAAAAAATAAATCATATTAAAACTTAATGACCCCAAACTTTTGAATGGTAGTGCATAATACAAAGAAGTCTAATTAATATATCGCTTGGAATTTTTAAAGGCACAGTGACACAACTATAAAAAGAAAGGCAGAATCGTGTAATGCTGTCTGTTGTAATGGTTATTTCTGAAATGGTGAGTCATTGATAGTTTCGAGGTGTCAGAAAGGGCCCTTGAGCACTGCAACCCACCAATGAGAGCTTCCCATTTGCCGTTGGCCTGCGTGACCTCATAGACGCAGCGCACCTCGCTGTAAGTCACACCCCCAATGATGAAGACGATGATGCGTGGGCCGTTGCGGATCTCTCCTGGACTCTTGTTCTTATGCCAGTTCCCATAACGTGCACTGAAAATGGCCAGCAGTGGTATTATCACTAGACATTTCACTAGATTAATGAGAAGATGTTGCGTACTGAATTCATGTGTTTGTGCAGGGAATCCTACCTGGTAGCCGTGGTCGTCTTTGAGGATGCTGTGCGTGTGGAGATGTAACGGTACTGTTTCGGGTCGAGTTTGTCTTCAATGGCGTCCTATCATAATGTAATTAGGAGAAATTCAAGTAAAAGAATGTTGAAATATCCAAAGTGAGGCAAGTACTGTTCGTTCAGCTCACCTCCATGATGTCTTTGACCAAAGGAGTCCATCGGGAGAGCTGGTACGTTTGCTCACTGATTCTTTCCTTACGGTCAGGTTTCTTCCCTTTACGTGTGGTTACTTGCTGTGGATACATATTTAAAGAGGTATGCATTTTGAATTCAGACATTATGTTTAGTGATGCACTGAATTCTGGATAAAAAAGCTGATAATTATTTTCACGGTATGGGTTATAACTGATAAATGGCTGATACTGTATATTCTATATTGTCTAAAATCACAGTGGAAATAAAAGGAATAGTTTCTGATGCTACAAGTCAGTTTATGAGTTCAAGGTGTAATAAGTCAAAATAAGTGTAAATGAATGTCTACAATTAAGTATACAATAATGGCCAATATATACACTATCATTCAACAGTTTGAGTTTGTAAGTTCTTTTTTTTTGGTTTTTGTTTATACTTTTATTGAGCGGGGATGCACTAAATTGCTCAAAAGTGACAATAATTTATAATGCTACAATTTATTTCAATTGCAAATACATGCCAAATAGATTACTTTATTTGGATCAAAGAATCCTGTAAAAAATGTATCACGTTTTCCACAAAAATATTAAGCAGCACAACTGTTTTCAACATTGATAATAATAAGAAATGTTGCTCGAGCACCAAATCGGCATATTAGAATGATTTCTGAAGGGTCACATGGCTTAAAGAGTAAATTCAACCAAAAAAGAAACTGTATGGCAGAGGGGCACAGAAAATTCTGCAGAATATCTCAAATCATACAGAGTTTGAGCGACATGAGGGTGAGTAAATGATGACAGAATTTTTACATTTCTTGGTAGAACATGTTTGTGAGGATCAGCTGACCTCTGAAATGATGGGAACCCCCATATGGGCTATATTATAGATGATGTCACTGTCCTCTGGAGGGATCTGAGCATGCTGGAGGAGCTTACAGAGATTCTCCTCTGACACACCTATGAGACACACACACAGTCAGCCAGGAATAACTATACATAATTCCACACATAATTATAGAGTTTGAACTGGCTCTAAATCCCTGCAGACCAGCATTTTGACAGTTTTGCTCACTGTTGTATGATATTAGTAATGGCTGTGTGTACAAACGTACCACCCCCATCTCACCCACACACAGCAAAACAGATAGAGAATACAAAGCATTGGCCATTTTGCAGCTCTCTCACCATTCTTGAGGAAGATATAGAGCAGGATGATACGGATTTTGTCCATGATGGTAACGTTGGCATCCAGTAGGATGGGTACGATGGTTCTCATGGGATCTTTGATCTTCTCACCCTCTGCATCAGTGCCCATAGCTAGATCCTAAGACGGAGCACACAGACACTATTAACACTAATTAATATGATGCTTTGAGCAAGCAGGCCCATCAAAGATATGCTGTACCTGCTCGACACGGCACAGTTTGTCCACTGTACCCTGGTAATGCTTCATACAGTCTTCTGCTAAGTGCAGATGAGTTGAATACTGCAAGATTACAAAACTTCTATCAGCAATGTTGACTTATTCCCTTGAATCAGTTGATATAAAACATGAAAATTATCTCAGTACCTTGCTTAACTCTTTCTGGTACTGTGGCATCTTTTTAAGCATTTGGGAGAGCTCTTTCATGGTGGTCTGGAAGATGCAAAAACAGTTAGTTAATTAATGGCAATAATTAAGAATTTGCAGTTAATGTTTGCTCAGTGATAAATAACACACCTTCTCTCCTGTGTTCATCTTTTTGCTTGCAGAGAAGTCCTTAAGCGATTTAGTCACAGCCCTAAAAGAGAGAAACTATTATATTTAATATATTATTATTATTATTCATTCTGGCTTATGTTAGTTATAATTGTTCTAAATTTTCTTCTTTAAAAATGAATGAATTTTATGTTATTTTTAATTTGCCAGTATAACATTTATATATAAGTAACAGTAAATACATTTATAATGTTACAAATGATTTCGATTTCAAATAAATGCTACTTATTTTAAACTTGAGCAACACAACTGGTTGCAGTTTCATATTGTATAGTAGAATGATTTCTGAAGGGTCACGTGACACTGAAGTCTGGAGTAATGATTGCAGAAAATTGGGCTTTGCCATCACAGCAGTAAATGCTATCTTAAAATACATGAAAATAGGAAACATTTGTTTGAAATTGTAATAATATTTCACTATATTACTGTTTATACTGTATTTGTGATCAAAGAAATGCAGCCTTGGTGAGAAAGACATTTATACAACTTTTGAATGGTAGTGAACCTGTGTAGGAACGAACAGACTTACGTGGACACCTCTGCTATGTGTTTATGTCTCAGAGTCATCCACAGGTCATCATCTTCATCCAACAGCACCTCTTTCATACGAGTGTCATCCATTCCACTGGTCTCATACCTGATTAACACACACACACACACAAACGTATGCACCATCACCATCAGTAAGTCAGCATCAGCATTGCAAACAGTGCAATGATGGATGGAGATATTAACATCATGAAAGTTAAAACACTTGGACTTGACCAGTCAGTTAAAAATGATCTGAGTGGCCTCAGAGCAGTATATAGATGAATTACAAACTGTTGGATTTATTACTTGTAGACATCATTCTCAATGGGCAGCAGGTCATAGGCCATGGCCTGAAATGTGAGCTCGTGTAGAAGTGGCGATACAGGGTCAAAACCTCGATCCAGAATCAATAGCTGGGAACGTGCTTTATCAGGTCCCTGTGAAAGAGAGGGGAAAAAAAGAAAGATCAAGATGGAGCACAAAACAGTAGAGCAAGGAATTCAAGTTGGACAGTGAGAAATGAAGGTCACTTGTGCCAGACAGAAGCAGTTTATTTTTATCATCCAAGGCAAAATATTGTGCTACAAACTCTGAGACTCACCTCTCCCAAAGTGGGGTCATCCGCTTTGTAACCGTCCAGTTTATCCTGAAGCATTTGGGCCAGGACTGCATTGTCTTTGTACTCTCTTCAAAACACAGCAACACATAATCGATCATGATGCGGACCGTCACCGACCTTTAACGCTCATTCTAGATTAAATCTAATCACTATAATCTGTTATGTCTGATATTTTAAATAACGGTTGTGTGCTTGTTTTTTTTTAATATAGATATTTTCTTTGCAGATGGCTGATGATGTTTGGAGTTACATTACAGATATGTGTCAGCAGATGGTGTTTATGAGGATGTGAGTTTGATGGTAAGACGTTTATGTGTGTGTTTCTTCTTCCTCTCTCACCCTCTGTATCTAACAGCTGGGTACTCTTTCAGTGTGGAGCACAAGGTGGCTATTTGCTCGGCTAAACGCTCCAACACCTGGTTCTTTACATCAGCTTTAAACGGGCTGTAGAAATCCTGGAAGGCATCTGGGCTGTCCATTGAGAACACCTGAGAACAGCATAGCAGCAACAGATAAATGCCTCACTATGACATACAGATTTGTGCATTTATTCTTAATATCTCAGATCTTCAATGGGATTCAAATGCATTCATATGTGGTTATCAGTGCACATGGATTTAGGAGCTGCATCACTGAAATCACATATTATCTAATAGGTATAATATTTTGCTTTGAAACATACTTTGCGACTGCTAAAAAATATTCAGATTCAGTATGAATGAAATACATACTACCCATATTCAGAAGTAAAGTGTTCATCAGATACGCACTTCAGAATATTGCTGTAAGTAGTAGGTCATTCTGGTAGCTTTCAACGGTTACACTTTACTTGAAGGGGTGTGCATAAGACTGACATGACACCTTCATAATCATGACATGATACCTACATAATCATGACATGACACATGTCATGAATATGAAGGTTTTTGATGCATGATTATGACAACTGTCATTAAGTGTCATTCGCTCAGTTATGTAATTTTTAATGCAAAGATGACATTGTTTGAGATGTCTTTGTTATGGGCTATGGTTAGAGGTAAGGGTAGGGGTAGGGTTAGGTTAGGGTTAGGTCAAATAATGTCATATTTGCATTAAAAATGACATAACTGAGCGAATGACACTTAATGACAGTTGTCATAAACATGCATAAAACCTCCTTCATATTCATGACATGTGTCATGTCATGATTATGAAGGTGTCATGTCAGTCTTATGCACACCCCTTCAAGTAAAGTGTTACCCTTTCAACTACAGTTTTCAAACATACTACTCGTCTCACATACAGTTTTTTGCCTACTATATAATAGGGAAGTAGGAATATTCCTTCTTAGAGTCTTTCTCTAAAAACATGGTTAAAAATGTATTTTTGCTAAAACATGGAGTCAATAACAAATAGAGATGTAGAGCACTATTAGTGTGTCCTAACCAGGTGTGGTGAGATAAAGTGACTACTAACTGCTTCTTTTTAATCTTCCAGGTTAGTTTTTGGCCTGACTAGCCCTAATTCCAACAGAAATAACAGAACACTCGCTTTCTCACTCACTTGATTTCGATTGGCCCACAGTGAAATCACACTGGTCCACAGAGCTGCTTCACATAACAGTAAAAAAATATGTTCTTCAGGTTACACACTCTGTCCCTTTAAATCAGTGCTTCTCAACCTTTGTGAATCCAAGACCCCTCACTGTCCAAGACTATATTTGAAGATATTTCTGGTGCTACTGCAATAACAACAAAACGTCTTATGTTTTTATTAACAGAAACTAGAGTGACAAAAATAGTTAAATCATTCATTCATTTTATATAAATAATTCAAAAAATTATAATTTTTGTAATTCCAGAAGTTTTATAAATCGAATGTTCTTTAAAGTTCACACTCTTCATAGATTTGCTTTTTTTCAGTCGTTACAGGATAAAGGGTTTTTTATTATTATTATTATTATATATTTTTGATTTTTAGAGCCTGGCATAGCTAGAAAAATGTATACACATTATAGAAATTCCTATTACTTTACAATTTTATTTCATTTAAAATTTTCCAAAAATACGAAATATAATGTCAGTTTACAACTAGATTTTTAACAGTTTTACCTTATTTGAATGCTTATTTTGTCATATTTTAAATAATTTAAATATATTTAACATATATACATTTAAGCCATCTTGCAGCCCTTTTGGAAGTTTGCTGAGGCCCCTTAGTGGGTCCCACTCCTTAAAATTCATCTGAAATAAAACTATAAACGGCCCTTATGACCAACTCTACACAGGATGTTGTCAGCCATGTGATATTATTATTAAAGTATTACTGAAAGCAGTGGTAGTTCACAGCAGTTTTAAGTTAGTGTTGCTTGATAATTTGTAAATGTGTTTTAGTGCCACAGGTAACTTTTACCAAGCAGCTTCCTGTCCAATGGCAACTCGCATCTCACTGCTGTCCGTCTGCCCATGAGAATCAGCTAAAAGCCTTTAGCAAGGATGAATGTTAATGGCTGTTACTGTTTCCCATAATCCTCTTTCACAACAGTAGTAACTCATTGATACGTCACCTGCCTCCCCTCTCCCTGTACGTGTGTGCTGTGTTCTGTACATTCTGCATGTTTGGCCAAAAACATTGTATTCAGATTAATCTACAGCTACATAATAACTACACTATCCTCTTTTCTTCCCTCAGATTGACCTATAATCCATAGTGTTGTGTCTCACTCTTCCTATCCTAACACACTAGCCTCAACACACTACCCCATCTGTCACATGAACAACTCCACGCTCGCTCTCATTGGCTGCCTGGTGACTCATTGATGGGTATTAACCAATGGGGAGCAGGATTAGGGTTGCGATAGGGATAGGGAGGGCTGATTCAGCCACTCCTCAGGATTAATTATAGAGGGCAACAACAGAGGATTGGAGGCACAGAGACGGACCGACCAAAGCTGCTCTCGAATGTTCCGGCATGATACAACCAGGACCCTTCCCCCCACATCTCCATACATCCTCCTAAGCATCATCCCTTCTTTCTTGGGTCCTAGGAAGTCTCAGGGTCTAATATAGAGGCTACTTACCTGTGATTCATAGGGCAGGAAGGCGATGTTAATCTCAGTCAGTGTCTTTATGGATTTAGAGGCACGGGATTTACTTATCAAGTTGAACAAAGAGTCTGGGATTGCTAAAATAAAAAAAATAAAAACAGAGATATATATATATATATATATACTAGATAAATATCTAGTAGATGTGTAGAAAAGAGTTGCTGATGTTAAAAATAAAAAAAACACACTCACTGTCTGTGAAGAAGACGTGTGCCCCTCTGTATATTGGATTACGGGGATCTCTGAAGTCATTGATGAGTCCCTCAACTGACTGTTGAAAACAGACATATCGTGTGTATTTATTCATATTATATTATCATACTTTATTATTCAAAAATGAAGTAAAACCATTAATATTGTGAAATATTATTGCAATTTAAATTAACTTTATTTTAAATTTATTTCTGTGACGGCAAATTGAATGAAAATTATTTTTAGCAGCCATTATTCCAGTCTTCAGTGTCACATGAGCATATGCTGATTTGGTGCTCAAGAAACATTTCTTCTTGTTATTAATGTTGAAAACAGTTGTGCTGCATAATATTTTTGTGGAAATGTTTTTTTGTGATACATTTTTTCAGGATTCTTTGATAAATAGAACATTCAAAAGAACTACATTTATTTGAAATATAAATCTTTTGTAACTCTATAAATGTCAAAATTGTCTCTTCCTCAAATGAATGGGCCCTTGTTGAACTAAAGTATTAATTCCTTTCTTACTGAGCCCAAATTTTTAACAGAAGACTGATTGTTGAAGATTTTATTGAAATTGCATTTCAATTGATAACATTTCACCATTGTGTTGTATATCAGTGACTGTCATCTTGTGAATGTTGGGATATAATACAAACTCCCATATAAGCTCAATTTTATATATAAAAATAAATGAGACAACTTACCTCATCAGATGGAGTGATGAGATATATGGCTTCCATGGTAGGAAGAGGCTCACGCCGCTTGGTTATGTCCTCAACAACTGGAGTAAAAATGGAAAAAAGTACATTTGAGCCAAATTGCTATATACAGTAATATATACTGCTAGGTGAATGTGTGTCTGTATAACTCACTTGTGATTCCCTCAGACATAATGTCTGTCATTTTACAGCATGATGAGATCATCCTCATGCTAAGCTTGTCCACCACCAAAACCTGAGGGAGAACAGCATGCATGATATATGTAGAACAACACGTAACCAATCAAAGACAAATATAACACATGTTTTGAATGCTGTTCGCCAACATGGGATGCTGTTGGGTCTATTTAATGCTGGGTTAGGATGGACTTTTAAGCAAGGAGGCCTAATATGACACCAGAGTCATCTTTAATTCAAGTTCATTCAAATTTATTTCAAGATTATTTTTATCATACTGTACAGAATAAATAACAATTGTGTTTTGATTGCACAAACAAATGCTGCACATTACAACATGTCAACAATAATCTTTTTCATAATGATTGACATATTCTTCAGATGAAATGACGGTGAGATTGATGTGTACCTTCCATTCTCCCTTCTTCTTCAACTTCTTAATGACATCGTTCATAATCTCTGTAGTACAAAAACAATAAAAACAAAACATGAACAACAAAGTGATTTCTGCAAAATAAAAATAAAAAAGACAATGTTCAGGGAAAGTACCAATATTTTGCATGCGACAGATGAAGCAAATCTGAGTCAAAATTTAAATCAAGATTACAGGAAACTTCTCAAATGTTAATGCTGTCAGTATCACAAAAATTCAAGAAAAGACCTTATTAAAGAAGAAAAGCAACAATAAATAATGACTGTAAAACAAAGCCTTACACTTTGCTTCCTTTCAGTGCGACTGTTTAATATTGCTACACAGCTAGATATATGTTATAAATTAATCTCAAATAATGATACAATTGACTGAGACAGATATCCTGACAAAGATCTTAAATTACTATATTTCATTCTCAATATATGGTAAGAATATTGAGAAAGAAATATATAGTCATTTAAAATGTTTTGAGTAAGAAATATAAAGATGTGTGATAATGTACTGCTATAAATATGTGGCTATGTTACAGCTCCCCTTTGAAGCTCTTGTGTTTTTCTCATTTTCCATCTCTCCAATCCTATTCTGCTCACAGGTGACTGGAGATGAGTTTTGTTCCCGCTTTGTTGCAGATTGCTGATTTTTGTAAAATCACTTCTGTTTTTGCTTTTCAGATAAAAGAGTGGTTTCAGTTTTTAATATGTTGCAGGCTCATTTATTGGTAATAAATAATTGATAATAAATAATATTGAATCAGAATCAGAATGAGCTTTATTGCCAGGTATGTTTACACATACGAGGAATTTGTTTTCGTGACAGAAGCTTCCACAGTGTAACAGAATGACAGTGACAGAACAAAAAAAAACACAGATAATAAAAAAAATAGAACAAGTAAATAAGGAATAAAAATATACAAATCGACAATTGTATGTACAGGTATATGATGATAATAAATCATCAAAAAATATTGGGCTTGTTTTTGAAGCTGCGGTTGCTTATTTATCTTGCGAGAGTTGGCAACAGTGGTCCGTTGGATAGAGGAGATGGAGAAACTGCTTGTGGAAGTTTTGCAATAACGCGGCTGTCAGTATATTGTGTCGAAAACATACCACTTGCTGAAACGTCAATGACGATCTGATCTGCTGCGTGAGATCAAGTGAGGCGCTCCCTCTGGCATGATAATCTTAATACAATCGTGTTTTTCAGATCTTGTAGTGTGTGTGTGAGGGAAGAAAATCTCCTTATGTGTGTGCTGCAACCAGATTTCACAATCGGTTAAGATTTGAAAACTCCTGTAGTGTGAGCCAGGCATGAGACAACTATGCAGAATTTGCCAAAAGCATCAGGTAGAGGTTTTGCGTAGTCTAAACCTTCTCTCCTTTTTTTTTTAAAACAGCACCATACCCTCTGCAGACACTAAAGAACATAGACTCTAAAAAATGCTGGATTGTTTCAACCCAACTTTAGGTCAAATATGGACTAACCCAACTGTTGGGCTGAATTTACTATTATAACATTATGGTTTGCTGCTTAGCATCACATTGTTTGAAGTATGATATAAGGATGCTTTTTTGTCATTTGTCCAATGTGTTTTGGTGAAAAGAACCCCCCCACCACCATTTGGATTTAGTGTTTAGGTAATGATATAGTAAGTTAATGATTAAGAAAAATGTATGAAATCATAAAAAATAAATCAAACCCGTTCAGGTCTTTTATGGCAGCAGAAAAGGAAATGATTAACTTTATTTGTTTAAATTATATATATTGTATGTGGTGCGAGAGACGCAGCAATCGCAGGCCTAATCTCTTCTCAATCCTCTTACACCACCGGCCTCTCTATTTTTGTTCCTCCTCTGTCTCTTTCTCCTGCTCTTTGTCACTCCTTTTTTTTCTTTTTCTCACTCTCTTTCTCTCTTTGTATCTCTACCACTGGATGTGAGCACAGTGGACCTGAATCATTTTTACTGCCCTTTTAAAAGCTCCACTGAATGGCGAGATCCCAAACGCAACAGCTTCCTGTAGTCACATTTCACAGCTATTGACGCTGAATCTGTCAGTTCTAACACCCAGAGGTGTTGTTGCATTAAAATAAACTTGTGGACCTCACAGGCTACTGAAAATGTCGAACAACAAATCAACATCCAGTCTGGCAAAATGTCTGTTTATAAAAAAGTTGCTGGTGAGATGTGTGATTAATATTTAAAGAGTGGAAACTGGATTGAAAGCTTTTAGATACTTGCAGACTAGTAAAAACGTAACCTACTGATTGATTAAAAATCAGATTAACAGTACAAACCGATATGTCCAAAAAATAGACTACCCTCCAGCAGCATTTTTGACATAGGCCTATTTTGCTATAATGTGTCATTATTTCCTGATGCTGATGAAGTAATGAAAATGAAGCGCTTGATCTTCACATTTGCAAACAAAAATTCACACCTTGATGTTTTCCCTCAGAATCTCTAGGATTTAATCAACACCAGCACTATATATGTCAACAAAAATAACAAGAAAGAATGACAGGGGGCAAATGGTGAAAAGTGTGAAGTCTGGATGTGATGAAAGAAAGAATCAGAGAGTGCATTATGAACACCGGAAAACCTCGTCAATCCTTACGGTTGCATAGAGCCAGAAAAAATAACCTGGGCTACAAAAACAAAAGTCAATTTTTTGACACTGGCATGTCAGAACTGTCTGTAAGGGATGGAGTATAGATAGATTTTCCACTTTTTGTGCTTCCACCCAACAGCACAACAGCACCTCCCCTCATCCTTAATCCCACAGGACTACACAGATTACTGTGTACCTCCAATCTCCAGTGTGCTTTTAGCTACATCACAATCATATGCACAGTGCAATATAATAGAATAAAAGTGTTACATTTAAAGGATTCAAGAAGAGCAGTGTTATTCTATGAGGATTATATTGTTGGTGAATAGAGTAATAGCATTTCACTCACCATGAAAATACATAACACACAAGAAATATCAATTATACAACGAATTAGAAATGGCTGAAATATCACTTTTAAATATATCAATAATTTAGCCCTAAATCAACTTTAACGAAACATTTCTTACTTTCTCCGACAATCGCCTTGAGCCCCAGAGATGCCATCCTGTCTCGTGTTGTCTCTCTCTCTCCCTGCTGGACTCGGAGTGCGCGCGCGCTTCGAGCACAGTTGGTGTAAATGGGATGTGGTGCTTGCGTCGATGCCTAATCCCACCACACGCCTCCGCAGCTCCACTGTTGACATATGCTCCATGTCTGGTAAACTATACACACGTGTGCATATTAATCATAATAACCTTCCAGCAGCTTCTATAATTTTTAATGAAGCATTGACTGGTTTTGTGAGCAGATTTTTTACTCATGTTTTTGGGTATTGCATACAGTGAGCTGCTATAAAAGCAAGTGATTTTAAATCAATGTCTAGAAAAATTAACGTTTTTGCGCAATACTTGCGTTACAATGCATTTACTGTAGCTGTGCTTCTGTGAGAATACCAGAAGACCACTAGAGGGCGACATCGTCTTTTTAGTCTGCCCAATACAAATGGCCGCTTCAGAGAAACGCATCACTCATTAAAATTGAATGTCTAAAAAAATGTCTTTAAATCTCCCTATAAAATGATTATTACATTTTTTTTATATTTTGATATTTTTAGTCTATTATTTCATACATGAAAAGAACATAAAATCGCGGTTGTTTTGCATTTATCTTTCCTACGCTTCATCAAAAGTGATCACTGCCAATAAAAACATCAATCAGTAAAATTAAAGAGTTTATTAAAAAAATGTTATTTTGTTAGAATAAGTTAAATTATATTGTTTTTTTTACCTAGTTTGGATTGTGTCGGCACCTGCGTTAGACACTTTCCTTGTATGTCTTATTTGATTCTTCCAAGTGATTCGATTCTTTTGAATCTTTGGGAAGATTTTGTTCTTGACTTTAATTAAGATATAGGAAAAAAAGACAATAACAAAAGGCTTGATAATTGGGAGTTTCAGTTACGTCATTATACCCGCTTTTTGTGTATTATAATTAGTAATTTTCCCACATTCATAACGAGATGCCTGGTTTATTAAATTTGTTGATGAGCGAAATGTCTCATTCAGTGCATGGGTCGTATTCGTTCAGCAGGCACCTATTTGTGCTATTAGTCACCTCATTTTCTCGTACTATAGTCAGCCTTTGAGGCCAAGAAAGAATGCTCTTCCAAAAGTGAACAATTTAAATCGGTATTGAGTTGATGGGAACGATTCATTCAAAGATTTGTTCAGACCCCCGATTCGCTCTTAGAATGAACGCACAGCCCCGCCTCTAATTGGAGGTGAATTTAGATTCCTGTAACCCCGCCTTCAGCACGCTCATGTGTCTCCTAAAGAAACGTGTGTTTTGACGCAGAACCCGAGCACAGCGTCTGTGCTTCACGCGGGATTAAAGAAGCATTAAATCAAGAGTTATGGAAAACTGAGCCTTCCTTAATCCAACACGGTGCCTGTCAACTCTAACTCCAGCCACTTTTCCTGCGTTCAAACTGCTTGAGGAAAAAGAGGGAGGAGCCGCTGAAGTCAACTTCAGTTCATATCTTATCATAGGAAACCAGCGCCCTGCTGCTGCTGCTACTACACAGCTGCTCCTCTGAGACGAACTTGACCGATCCAGTTGAATTTGCCAACTAACAGCGGCGCGATGGGGGATTTGATCTCAACTCATCTGGATGAAGGCAAACGGGAGGTTATAACAGGTAAGAGCTCTGATGGACGTGTCTGCTAACCGCGATGCTTTACTAGTTGCAAGACGTGATAGATAATTAGTCTTGATATGTAAAATATGGTGTTGCGAAAGAATTGCAATGCAATTTCAGTTAAGGCCAGTGCTGGGGTTTTGGGTGAAAGGGTTTACATTCCACCCCAATAAGTAAACTTGGGATAATAAACTTTGTGCTATTCCCGCACTAAAGAGGCACTTTGCTGCGACGTGGCACATTATTTCCTGTTACTATATTTTAAATTACACACTGCATAAAATAATCATGTATGATTAGTGAGAATCAAAAAAAAAAAAGAGAGAGGGGATTACACTCAAATGCTTCTCCTTTAGGAGAATGACAACATTAGGACAACATATATGTGAGCTGCACAACCGAACTATTGTTTATATCTTAAATCATGAAAAAATGAAGTGTAACTAAATTCTTATGGGTGGCCAGGTGGCCTGCATCTCTTCAGAACTTTGTGGTCAGGCGTGGTTTGGGTGGAACAGGTTTGAGGAAATGCTGAGTTTGAAATGGATTACCAGTAGAAGATTACCTACCAGTGCCAGAAGTTAACTATTTAGGAACAGTTGTTTTCAGTTTTTTTGTTGTTGTTGTCAATCAAAAACCATTTCATTTTTGCAACATTCATTTCTAAGACCGTAAATACAGATATTTGACAACTACAGGTCCCTAAACCCAAATAATCCAATCCTAGAATAGAATCCATGTCTAGAATAAAACATATATATATGTGTGTGTGTGTGTGTGTGTGTGTGTGTGTGGGTG